AAGGAAGGATGGGAAGTTCTCCCCAGTGTCCCAGTCGAGATTTATCCTTCAAGTGATGCTGCTGAAACAAATCAATGATAAATTTTTATTTCTGCTTGGCATCATGTATTTTTCTCCTCCTCCTACCACCTCCTTCGCACACCCCCACCTTCTCCAAAAGTGATTTATTAGGACAAACAGCACTTAGCTACTTTTTTCAAAACCCACCTGTGGTTACATCTTTGACCACCAACATTCAAATATGCCTGAAGACTGCGCAGAAATTTCTACAATGTTACCTTTTGCAGTGATTCAGCTGTTTCTCCTGTTTTTTTTTAAAATAATTGATTTTTTTTTCCCCTTGAAGATAGAATGCACTTTGTGGAAATTGGCTCACCTAATTGGAAATGCTGCTAATTTCTCTCACCCTCTGGGTAGACTGGACGGGTACCAGACGTGAATCATACAATTGTAATCACAGTCCGACATAAAGGCATGTTCTCTGTTGAACAGCTGCTGCAAAACACGTCTTACCTTATGGTAATCAGTCAAATGTTCTGCAATTTTTTTGTCATTCACATTTTTGTTTGGTTAGGCACAAGCCAACCAATGCCCAAAGCATTTTCCTGTGTAACTCCTGGATTAGCCTACCAAAATCAATTATTGTAGGTAAAATTATATAAAGCTTCAATGCTGCCAAGAAATTCAGGTCATTGAATAATGAACTATTTTAACAGCACCTGAATATAATAACTGCAACCAATTTATTTTCAATCCACTCAAATTAAATGAATTAACCTCAGATTACAATTGCAAATGAAGGTCAGATTATTATCCCTCAAATAAACAAGAGATTGCTTCAAAGTTTCTCATTCCTTCGCCAATATTTTCAGTCACAGACTTCCTTCACTCACCTTTTCCACAGAAGTATTTTAAAAGACACATGCTACATTATTAGTTAAGCTGAATTTCCCTGTGTGTGCAGCACTGCATGTTAAATAAACAAATGTCAAATAAAGCTGCCAATGGTAAACAAATTGCAAATTTCAAATTTAAGATTGCGAGTAAGAATTCACTGGAATACAGGTGTCAAAAGAGATGGCACAAAAAATTTTTTTGCTCCCATCATTGTGCATGGAACTGAGTAATAAAAACTGAGCAATTTTTTTTCTGCCACCTGAATATGAAGAGGCATGATGTCGAGCAATGCCAAAATTTAAATGTCATAATTAATGTGAACAACATTAAAATGATCTAACTTTGCCTTTAACATCAAGGGGATTCAGCACAATATCGAAACAATACTTGATAGCTCGACCTCACGAGAAGACATTGGGGCAGACTGCCAAAAGCTTGGTCAATGTAGGTGTGAAAGAACATCTTTAATGAAGGGACAGAGGTGGAGGGAAAGGGCTTCAGATCTTAGGGCTCAGTCAGCTGAAGCACAGTCATCAGCACTAAAGTGATTAAAACCAGAGTACAGAATCTGGGATAGGTGTAGGGATACAGGAGATGGGGAGCAGCACATTGACGGATTTGAGAACAAGGAGAAAAATTTCTAAAACTAAGATATTGTTAAACTATTTCTTGCAAGAACATGAGGTTCCACGCTATCCTATGCTGCCTCTCTGCAATGTGATCTCTGAAGCACAAGATCTGAATTTTACAGCATTAATAGCGATTCTAGCATAACTGTCAGGTTACTGGCCTTGTAAGCCAGACACCTAGGCTTATTGTCACCACAAGCTGGGAAAATTAAATATAGTCAACTCATAAGTTTGAAATTTTAAAAAGTTAGTTACAACTTTATCAGGGAGTATCAATGAACACTTATCTGCTGAATCATCATAAAAATTTACCTGTTTAATCATGTCCCAAGGATGGAAATCTGCCATCCTTGCCCGGAGTGGTCAACATATCTCCACAGACCCACGATAGTGTGCCAAAACTCTTAACTGATACCTGAAATAGCCTACCAAATAATTCTGAAGGAAGCAAGACACTGACCAAAAGGACAACAAACACAAACCTTGCAGCAAAATATTAGATATTGAGAGTGGATTTAGAAGCACAGGTGGTCATTTAAATCTGTAGTGTTGGCTTAATGAAAAATCATTTTATCCCCTTTGTTCATTTAATATTTTGCTTTGTTTCCAAGTATTTATCCATTTGGCTTTTGAAAGCCAATTTAGGTTCTGCTTTTATTTTAGAGTCAATTTTACATCTGATCAAACCTTCATTAAATTTTCTAACCTCTTTCTTCATTTTAATCGCTGCCTAAAATTTATAACTTAAATCCTTAACTCACCTAATCAGCAGAAATAGATTATATTCCTATTTAGTTACCGAAGTTGCTGGTTCAAACTCTATCAAAATCCCTATTAACTTTCTTGTAATGAGCATCACCTTAGCCTTAACATTCTTTCTGGAGACATCTAGATCTGACACATGAATTATAAACTGTTCATAATCTGCATTGGCATAGCTTTACATCTTGACTTTGATCTTACATAATTTTAATCACCATGTCACGAGAGGGGAATTGGATTTTCACCAGCCCTGAGCGAGACAGTGGGTGATGGAAGGCTTTGGGAGGGAAGACCAATGTTTTCCACCATTATCCAGAGGATAGGATGGTGGAGATTAATTAGTTGGTCTATTAATGACAGCCTCCCAACCCACCAGCATTGGGACATCATTAAAAGTAATCTCATGGAATTAATTTTAGACATTGCCATAAAATTAACAGCATATGGATCAAACTGATGCAGAATTGAATCTTCGGCAATAAGTTACACATCCTTGTATTCCCAGTACTACATCAAAGTTCTTGCTGTAGCAACGTGCCTTTCTTTTGAAGGCTGAAAAGAAAGGAAGAAAGCATGTTCAATAAGGCATCACATAAATAAAGCAATGTGTCTGAATCTTACGTTGCGCATGCTGCTAGTTTATAATACATCCCATAAACAATTTTCCTGTATTTTTAAGCTTTATCACCAAATTAAAGTATGGTCAAGTGGAAAGAACTATTCTGATGAAAGCTCATTGATTTGTGAAAAGGGGAAGCAGATAGCATAGGTTTATTAGTAATCACAAAATACTTGCCACATTTAATGTTATCACTGGATAATATAGTCACGTGCATTGACCTAAAATGTGGACTGTAGAAACACAATTGGGTTGAGATGGGGTGGATAAAGTGTAGCATTTTGATTGGTAACTATTATTTGTAGGACAGTTGATTTGAAGAGTACTAGTGTTACACAGTATAAAACCTTTGTTCTGGCAATAAAGATTTGAGCTGTAGGTCAATTTTGGATATGTACATCTTCTATGCATGAACAAATGTTCAAACAAAGACATGAGTCTCTTCTGGCTTTGGAGGAAATAAATGGGTTAAAGTCACCTTAGCATCTGAAATTGTTAACTCTCTCACTACAGATGTTGCCGAACCTATTGGATATTCACAACTTTTCCTATACGCCCTTTTGAACTGGATGTGGCATTCTCCAACTTGCACATCATTGAGCAGAAAGAGACTAGACACCTTCCCAACATAGCAGCCAAGTATCAATAATTTTCCCATCTGAATTGCAAATATTTGTAGCATTCTTGCTTAACTACAGTTTCAATAAAACTAAAACCATTTTAAATTAACATTTCTTAAACAATAATGAATGGTAATATAACAGCATCATGATTACTTTATTAGGCTCGCTTATCCAGAGACCTCAACTTTCAATACAGAAACATGAGTTCACATCCAAGAGTGTGCTGGAGAACAGAAATTCAACTTACCAAATAAAAAGCCAGTATATGAGTGATGGCGGCCATGAAATGACCAGATTGCCGAGTGTACCAATCTGGTTCAGGAAAACCCTTTAGGGAAGGAAATCTGCTGTCTTTGCAGTGTCTGGTTTATGTGCGACAGCACACCCACAGCAAGGTAGATAATTTTGAACTGACCTCAAATAGCCTAGCAAACTAATCAGTTGCGTTCAAAGTAGCATGGCTCACTATTACCATCAAGCCCAAAAACAATGGCTAACGAATATTGGCCTTGCCGGTAGCTCCTAGATCCTGCAAATTAAAAAGGATTGGCTGTACTACGAATTTAATCAGATGAAAATTTGAGTGGCTAAAAATAGGAGTAAAAGATTATGCCTCAAATTAAATAATTTCCTTTGCATAGCTCGCTGGCACTACTTTTAATTCACAGACGAGTTCCATTGTTGAAGCAGACAGTTCTGGCTCTTGATATACAAACAATATTGGACTGGCCCAAGTAACTCCCAAACTCTCATCTTAGCACCTCTTTGGCATTCATCTCCAAAATTCCCTTAGTGGGATGAAGGATTTAGCATCTTGTTCTAAACCAGCAAATTCGGAGCAAGAATTTCTTTTTAAAAAAGTCAAAAATGTTCAATTGAAATCAGAGTTTTAGCTGTCACCATTAAAGCTTTGCACAAATGCCCTGATTTTTAACAATACTTTTCTTCTCCAAAGTCAGCGCTCAATACTCATTTCAGAAATCTTTTAATTTGGCATTGCAGCTCTCAAATCTATCATCTTCAACTTTTCTTTTATAAAATGTAACCATCTATATTTCAGAAATGAAAACTAGTCTAGCTTTGCTTTTATTTTATAATAGTCACAAACCGATTAACAAATCTGCACTTAAAATCCAAACTGCTTGAAGTGTTCACTGGTGAATTACTGAACACAATGAACATCATGAAAGAGTTTATAAATTTGCAACTGATAAGCCACTGCTTCATTTAAAGGTAAGTTAACAAGTACCTTTCATTGGAATGTTTATGATTAGGATGAAAGGAGAGGCTAGGTGAATGTAAACATGGACCAGCTTCTATTTCTTTGCTGTTAATTGCACGTAACTTTGTGTCAGCGTTTTGGCATCTCAGTTTGCTTCATACAGAATTTGGCTACGCAATACAAACTGGGCCCATATATACATAGAATACAACTATCTGTAATCTAAAGATGACAGGAAATACAAAATATTTCATTTTATACTTTATTATAAAAATGTAGCTGAAAAAGCAGTAGCAAGTTGATTTGGATGGGAAGAAGCAGTGGATACAGATGAAGTGCTCAGGTAAGGATACATTGCATGAAGGGTTTACAACTGTGCGAAACAAGGGTACTACAGGCTTTTTTAAAAAGCCTGTCTGTCCAGAAAATCTAAGTTTAAAGACACAATCCAAGTCATGCTGTTTACATCTTGCACAATACATTAAGACATTAGCAGTAGTAATTGGCATTTGCAGAAAACCACAAATGTCACTTTATATTTATAATTAGGCAAGGTGCTTTTTGTGGGGTTTTTGTTAACAGTTATTATGGCAGATCAAGAAAATTACATTATCCTTCAACATTTGTTCTACCTTAATATATACATTTCAAAATTTGCTTCCATGCTTCTAAAAGGTAAACCAAAATTGAAATCTACAGTACATTTTAAAGTATAAAAATATATTACAAATCTGCAGAAATATTTACAAGCAATTTACTATTATCTATATGCAACTCTTTATGCCTTCTGAACCTAAGACTAGGATGTTACAGAATAATCTAGAATTTTCCCATCTTCATCCAAGTAAAAATACAGGCTTTCTTTCACGTGATATACACGCAAGCATGAAGATTATCAACAATGCAATCACTTGGTTAATCTCGTCTCTAAGATCTTCTATGCAGCAAGCTTTGGTGCATTGAAATAAAACTTTCCAGCTTTTATTCTCCCAAAAGATCAACATCCTAAAATGGCTGCAGAAATTAATTTTTAACATGAGATCATTTTCTTGGTAAACACTGAATTTATTTAAAGTTCACAAATCTTAATTCATGAACTTTTACTGTCAAGTTATTTGAAAAGAGATTAAACAAAAACATTAAAGTATCTAATTAAACTGAGGTTGTTACACCACATGTAGTAATTGGGAGAAAGTAATAAAATCTGCTTTTCTGATCAAAGTGGGACGTTTAGATTTTTTTAAAAAATCCTTTATGAAATTTTATATCTTGATTTTAGATTTTTCTGATTAGAAAGGGGCACAGCTTGAAGCAGCGAACAAACAAGTTCCGAGGAGGAAGTTTCTCATTGCACATCCCCCCTTGTTAGATGCCAAACATTCCCTGTAGAACTGTTCTCATTGTACCGTCTCATCCCGAAGAGGTGGAGTGCGAAGCTTCAGATCCATTCTCCCAAAGTCTGCTTTTAGTACAAATAATCAGCTAGGACTGGGAGAAAAAAAGTGATTCTAATGTGCAATATTCTATTCCAGTCATGGCGACTAATTTTGACACCATTCTGGTTCCCAGATTGGACCTTACCTCCTTTTCAGCCTTTTCTGTGGCATTGTCCTAAAAAGGAGGGAAAAAAAACAAATTTAAAAATCAAAAACTTGCCTCTAAAGTTAGTTGCAATATGATCAGAAAGTAGTTAAACTAGACTCAACAAAAGTGAAATGACTAAGTACGATATTTAATCCTTGCTTATGACATGATTTTGTAACCACTTGTTAAAAGGTTAGCACATTCAATGTCAAATATTTATTATGGGGCAAACATGTTTTTATGTGCCACAGGTAGTAGTTTAGGGAGAGTTCACTGCATATTTTAAAGGGCAGATGGAACAAAACACTTGAAGCATTGGAAGCTATGAGGAGAGAGCAGAACAGGGCAGTGGATTTAGTTTGGTTTGCCTAGCAGAGTCAGTACAGATGCAGATAAGCAAAATGCTCACCTGTAAACTTCTCTGCTTCAGTTACAAAACAATATCTTAATTTACAGGCTGGAATTTTAATCAGATTGCATTATCCACAGACCTTCAGAACAAGAAAATAAAAACCTGCAAAAATAACGAGGGAAACAAACAAATCCAGCAGACTTTTGTTATGCTTACCTTTTGATTTTTCAAAAAGATCCAAAACGTTAATGGCTTCCACCTCTTTCCCGACACCCACATGCATACCCACAGAGTTAAATGTCGACAACTACTTTCAAGGGAATGTCAAGAGAGTTGCTCTCTTCTCACAGGTGGATCATTCAAATTCACAGTGCAAAAGAAAGAACAGCTGACAGCAAGACTATGTCTATGTCTAATACACAAAGGAATTACTCCCGTACCAGGGGTCAAAATAATTATTTTTGCTCAGATTTTCTCAAGGGCTGTTTTTTCGATTTTGGGAGCTCCTTTTCTCTCTAACTCCTATTTAGATGATGCAGTCACAGGGTAACATTACCTTCTGTATTGGTGCTTTTTTCTAAAAAAAAAAGGACTTCCTTCTTTACGTAGATAAGACAAATACCAAAGATTGTATACAAACAAATGTTAAATGTTATAAAAATCTACAAATAAGATGATTTTTATTATAAATAAATTTTCCACACTCTTTTTATGCATTCACCAAAATAAATAGTTAAATGCATACCTTATGTAAAAATGATGCAACATTAATCCTGATTTTCCAGGAATTATTATGTCTGTAACTAGGAAAAATATAAAGTTGTAAATAGATTCCTGAAAATGTTTGAAAAAACTGAATGCAGGATGCTGATTTTTACCTAGTTATGCAAATTGCAGATCATCCAAGTATTGCGTCTTCACACACAAGAAATTAATGCTTCAGCTATCCTGGTTGACCCCACTCCTCTTACAAAAAGTGCTCAGGTGCTTACAGCACAGTAGGAGGCCATTTGTCTTGTCAAGTCTGAACCGCTCAAAGATCTGACTACACGGATCCCATTTTTCAGCTGTTAGCCCACAGAACTGTAGGCGATAAATACAAGACTTCTTTTATTCCATTCCCAGGACGAAGGCATTACTGGCTAGAACAGCATTTATTGCCCATTTATAATTGCCCAGAGGGCAGTTCAGAGTCAACCACATTGCAGTGGGTGTGGAGTCACATGTAGGCCAGACCAGACAAGGATGGCAGTTTCCTTCCATACAGGACATTAGTGAACCAGATGGGTTTTACCTGACAATCGACAATGGATTCACCATCATTGGACTCAAGTCCAGATTGCCGTTGCAGGATTCAAACCCAAGACCATTACCTGGGTTTCTGGTCTAACAGTACAGCGATAATACCACTAGGCCGTTGCCTCCCCATGAATAACTAAACACTGCTTAAATGTTTAAAGGGTTTCTGAATTAACCACCCTTTCAGGCAGGGAGTTCCAGATTCCCAGTGAAAAGATTCTCAATTACCCGTTTAGCCTTCAATGCCCTCTGGTTACTGAACCCTCTACTAACGGAAACAGCAACTTCCCGTCCCTTCTATCTATGCCCCTAAATCTTATACGTCTCTTTTAGGTCCCCTCTCAACCTTTGGTGCTCCAAGGAAAACAAACCCTGGGTCTATCTGATCTTTCCTATTAGCTCAGGCCCTACGACATCCTGGTAAATCTCTTCTGCCTCTCCTCTATTGCAATCACATCCTTCCAAAAACGCGGCATGCAGCACCTCACTTGTGGTCTAACCAGCATAACTTCCTTACTCTTTTATTCTATGCCTCATTTAACAAAGGTAGATATCCTCTAAATCTTTCTTAATTACTCATCTACCTGCTCTGCCGCCTTCGTGAATCTACTGGTGTACAAAGTTCTTCTGATATGCAATATTTTCCAAAGTTCTATAATTCAACTGAAATTCCCTTGCCACGTCAGTCCTTTCAAGAACATTAGCTCACATTTCTCCAGGTTGAATTCCATTTGTCACTGCTCTGCCCACATAACCAGTTTGCCAATATCATCCTGTTCACTATTCTCTTCCTATTACCCTACCAGTCTTTATGGAATGCACAATAACAATTTGGATTTAAATGTATAATGTGACCTATAAGCAGCAAGGGGACCAGCACAGGGTCCTGCAGAGATCCATTGTAAACAGGTTTCCAGTCACACAAGCATCCTTCTATAATCACCCTCTGCTTCCTACCTCTCAGCTAATTTTGGATACAATGCTCACTTTGCATTGGATCCCATAGCCTCTTACCTTCTTGACTAGTCTACCATGAGGGTCCTTGCAGAAAACCCAACTGAAGTCTACATGGACCACAAACATTACCAACATCAACACTCCTTAATAAAATTCAAATTTTTCAAATATAACGTTTTCTTAACAAACCCATGGCCATGTTTGCTGATTAATCCACGTTGCTCACCAAGTGCAAATATATTCTGTCCTTTCTAATGTCCCCACCTACCAAGGACTCACTGACAGGTTTGATATTTCTTGGTCTATCCCTCCTCTTTTTTAAAAGTGGGAGAACATTAACAGTTTCCCAGTCTTCTGGTAACTTATGTCACCAGAAATGTTCTGAAAATTACTGCAAGGGCTCCTCTTGCTTCCTTTAACAAGCAGAGATACATGCACAGGCCTAAATGAGATGTATAAATTTTAATCAGAGATAGTAGGAACTGCAGATGCTGGAGAATCCGAGACAACAAGGTGCAG